AAATACAGTTAATCAAATAAGAATAGCCTACTATTCAATTATGATTATACATTTCCAACATTCTCTTGGACCTAATTTTTGAAACCACTAAAGTAATGTTTAACATGACATTGAATTTTGTTTATTCTAGATTAAAACGAACAGGTTGTCTTCTCCTTCTAACCGACCGTCTTAATTGAACTGGCAACTGATCAGTGTGTGTGGACCCATATCTGTCGTCGGACTCCGCTTTGTCGTCTTTCTCTCTTTGATTTTGTTTCAAGTCAGATCCAGTAGTGATTATTGTTTCATCGGTCCCCATTTTGTCGTCTTTCTCTGTTTGACTATGTTCCGGGTCGGATCCAGTAGTAATTGTTGTTTCCTCAACCGGTGGTGTCCGAATACCGAAATCTAAATCAATATCAATATTATCTGCCCTAAGCTGATTTGAATGCGATGACGATACATTTCGACGTATTTGATTTTGATGTCGTTTTATGTTACCATTTTCAGTTTGAATAAAATACATTTTATTTCCCAGCAATTTCTGTATCACGCCTCTGATCCATTTATGCGATCCCGAATAATTACGAGCTAACACTTTCTCTCCATCTCCGAATTTACTTCTATTTTGAGTTTTCATAGTCTCCATAACTTTCGGGAACAACGCCGATAAAATGGTTCTTGGTTGCCGCCCATGTAACAACTCTGCTGGCGATTTATCAGTTGCTAAGTTTGGAGTAGTTCTATACGTTGTAAGATATTTATACAACGCTTTGTCAATATGTTGTTCCTCTTTCATAATTTTTGTTACTGCTTCCTTAAAAGTTCTCACATGTCTTTCCGCTAACCCATTCGAAGCCGGATGAAAAGGAGCAGACGTGAGGTGCTGAATTGTGTTCATTTCACAAAACTTTTGAAATTCATTGGACGTGAATTGTGTTCCGTTGTCTGTCACGATAGTGCACGGAAGACCTTCGATAAAAAAAATTTTTTGTAGAGCTCCAACTGTTGTTACAGCTGTTATTGTTGATAGTTCCACAATATATGGAAATTTAGAATATGCATCCACAACTATGAGCCACATACGTTTAAAGAATGGACCCGCGAAATCCAAATGAACTCTTTCCCACGGCCTACTAGGTTCTGGCCATGCAGAAAATTCTCGCTTTGGTTGACTTGCACCTTGTTGACAAGATGAACAATCATCATGAATACGTTCTATGGCTTTATCAATAAGAGGAAACCACACATATCGTCTTGCCATCTGTTTCATACGACCTTTACCCCAATGACCCTCGTGTAACAAATTTAATACTTGAGATTGCAGTGCTTTCGGTAGCACCACTCTAGTATATTCAGCCTGAAGAAGTAACACTCCATTCTGAAATGATAAGCAAAATCTGCGATTAAAGTACGGTTTGATACTACCTTCAGATTTCGGCAATTGTTCAGGCCAGCCATCTTGTACATATCTGCTGACACGTTGAAGAGTGTTGTCATTAGCAGTCATATCCTTTACTAATGTTGCATTTACTGGAAGATAATCCACAGCATTTTGATAAACAGTATCGACATCATCTAACATCACAACTTCCTTTCTATCAAATTGTATGTCATCCCCACACGGCAATCTGGAAAGAGCATCAGCGTTAGCATTCTGAGATGAACTTTTGAACCGTATAATGTATTCATATGCTTGAAGTACAATAGCCCAACGCTGTAAACGATGCAACGCCATCACTGGCAACTTTCTATTCTGATTAAACAGTGTTGTCAACGCTTGATGATCAGTTATTAATTCAAAACGTCTTCCATAAAGATATTGATGAAACTTGGTCACTCCATAAATTATTGCTAATTCCTCTTTTTCGATTTGAGAATAGCGTTCTTGGCTGCTGTTTAATTTTTTTGAAGCATACGCGATTGGCTTCTCTGAACCATCAGCATAACGATGTGAAATTACTGCGCCGATTCCATACTTAGATGCATCTACTGCTAACACTATAGGCTTCTTATCATCATAATGAACGAGTTCCGTAGCTTTGATCATAGCATTCTTCAATGCTTGAAAAGCATCTTCATGATATGCTGTCCATTTAAACACAGCATTCTTTTTCCTTAGTTCATTTAAAGGAGCAGCTAATATGGAAAACTGTTTAATAAATTTGTTATAATAATTAACTTTTCCAATGAAAGCTTCAACTTCTTGAATATTACGAGGACGCGGCATTAATTTGATTGCCTCTACACGTTTTCCTGTGGGCATTAATCCATTCACATTGATTACGTGTCCAACATAATCTACCTGCTCTTGCGCAAAACTACATTTTTCGCTTTTACATGTCAAGCCGTATTCTTCCAAACGTTGAAAAATTTTGAAAATATTATTCAAATGTTCTTTATTATTTCGACCTGTTACGATTATATCATCTAAATAAACTGCACAGTTCGGTATTCCAGCGGTTACTTCTTCCATAAGACGTTGAAATATGCCAGGAGCACTGGCAATACCGAATGGCAATCGTTGAAACTGGAACAAACCAAATGGCGTATTAATGACTAGAAATTCTTTTGTTGCGTCAGACAATTCTACTTGCAAGTACGCTTCACTAAGATCAATTTTTGTGAAAAATTGTCCTCCTTGAAGTTTATAAAAAAATTCCTCAACTCTAGGAATTGGATACCTGTCAATCTCAATTTGCGAGTTCACACCAATTCTGAAATCTGCACAAATACGTAATTTTCCATTTGGCTTTGACACTACAACTATAGGAGCGGCCCAGACGCTGCTTCTGATAGCTTTCAAAACTCCAATATTTACCAACCGATCAATTTCGATGCGAACGTCTTCTCTTTTCGCAAACGGCAGGTTGTATGGTTTAAAGAATTTAGGCTTAGCATCTGACTTCAATCTGATTTCAGCTTTGAACAACGTACAACGCCCCAATTTCGAAGAAAAAATGTTAGCATGTTGACATCTGAGTTCATGTAGAGATGCGGTTAAACTTTGTTGACTGTCACAAGGATTATTTGCATAACATTCAATAACAGGTAACTGCAGTTTGAAATTTAATACTGTAAACAAATCCAATCCCAGTATGTTAGTAACATATTCATCGTTAACTACAAGTATCTCAAGGCTTCGAGTAATTTTTCCATACTTGACATTTACTCTGAGAGAACCCTTAAGAAAAATAACAGCTCCTCCATACGCTCTCAGAACTTTATTCGTAGGCCCACAACTAGGTCTACCCAGTTGTTTATATGCCGCCAAACCAATTAAGGAACATGTTGCACCAGTATCTACTTGAAATGTTAAAATTTCGTTATTTATATTGAGGTCAACGAAAATTTTAGATGAACTAAGTTGCGAATCAACTGATTTAACTTCCGTTGTTTCATTCGCATTAATTGACTCAAATGAAACATCACTCATAAAATATACATCTCTTGCTCTATTTTGTTCCTGTCTTCGAACCTTAAAATTAGAATTCTGCTGAATACCTGTCACTGCTGATTGACAAACTGCAGCAATATGACCTTGCTTTGTACATAACCGACACTTTGTTTTGTTCTTGTAATGATAACATTGATTTCTTTGATGTGCTTTCCCACAAGCTGGACACGATTGTCCTCCCTTCACTGAATTTCGGGACTTAATATTACTTCGATTCTGTTTAACTTTCTTACTTGAACTGTGATTAACTTCATTAACTGTTTGACTGATATCTTCACCTCTAATTTCGTTACAAGTTTTAACCGTTGCTTCATATATTGCTGCTATCTGCAGTACTTCCTCTAGCGATAGGTTTGTTTTCTGCAACGCGGCACTACGGACTTTATCGTGTGGTGTGTGTATCACAACCATATCTCGTATACAATTATCTATAAACGATTGCTGGCAAGTTTCACTAGTACATAGGAACATGCACTCTTTAGCCGCACCACGCAGTTCTGCCACCCACTCAGCATATGATTGATTTGCTTTCATTCGTATTAAATGAAATTTAAAACGTGCTGCTAATATATGCTGTTTTTCCGCAAAATGATTATCCAATTTTGCTAGTAGTTCACCAAAAGACTTATTCTCTATATTATTGTCACATAACTTTTGAATAAGTTCAAAGGTCTCTGTATCTATCCACGAAAGGAAACATGCGCGTTTTAATACATCGTCTTTCACTTGATGTGCCACAAAATGTTGATGCATCTGCTGAATATATATCGACCACTTTTCAACATTTTTCTCAAACCGTCGAAAGGTTGGAGTTGAATTAGCGGATTTTTTCCCGTTAATCACGCTTCTCAATACTTCTTCATTTTTGTTTAATATTTTCTCAAAAAATTCTTGATTTGCTAATGAGAACTCTCTTAGAACTGTCGCGAGTGCCTGAGCATCCATTTCCTCGTCGCCAACTGTTAATTTGTGTTTTTACAATTTAACTTTATTCTTATCGGAAGTCAAAAGTTAATCTATTTCTATATTTTTACAAAATGTTAAATACAGTTAATCAAATAAGAATAGCCTACTATTCAATTATGATTATACATTTCCAACAAGCTTCTATTTTATAGTTAAATTTTTATAGTTCACAAAAAAGGTTAATAGTAACTTCCCCAAGCACAAAAGAGCTACATAGCAGCAACAATACAAGGTCTCAAGTGTGTATGTTTACACAATCAACATAGGCATACAACATTGTTGTTGTAGTCCGCGGGGATCTGCTTATAAAAGCGCTTGGGGAATGGTAAAAAGCACTTGGTCGTGGAAATTAACGGGTGACTGCAGGACGTAGACACGATCTGTCTTAAAAATTGAACAACCACTTGTTTATTTTAGTGCCATGGTACTTAACCAATCAGATTTGTGGGCTTGGTACTTAGAAACACCAAACATGAACCGTTGATATCTACTTCCTAGGCTTAGAAGTCATTTTTACCGAAAGCTTTTTGTAAAAATTTATATGAGAACAAGTGCTAACATTACCACTATTTTTTGTTGTGGTGATCTATCTGATGGAACCTGTAGAAAAATGTATACCCCACAAGATGAACTAGTGAAATAGATAGCAGAAAAAAAGAAGTTTATGTGGAATAGAGAAAGGTTGGGGATATAGGTGGATGCTAATTAAAACTAACCGGAGTTAATAGTGAAAGAACTTAACTACTTTAATGAAACGGAATAATAACAACTTTATTGGAACGGAGCAATAAATTAATAGGACTTAAATTTGCATATTAGCTGGAACATAAGAACAGATTGGCGATGTAATGAAACGTAGATCTGCAATTGATGCCAAGTAATTCTTTAGTAAATGGCTATAATCTGACATCAATAAGACTAGGATAATTCTTGCTGCACGAGGAGAATATATTCCATCTCTAAATCATTTCATTGTAATGTTGAAGCTTTACGTCGTAATGCAAATACATTGACTATATGACTAGATAAAATCTTTAATTTAAGATCTAATTTATAAACGATGTAAACGATGTATAAACGATGATATTGTAAATTATTCAGATTTTAAGATAACTTCAGTATCCTCAAGGTACCGAAACTGTACTGATGCGACTAATACTAAATAATTAATAATGGCTTTTTCAACGCTGCCATAATAAAGATTTTTTTATTTTAACAACATTTACCAATATTAATTATAATTAAGATTGGTAAACATTTCTAAAAAAATTTTATGATTTATACAATCTTCATTTTTTTTTTAGGGAGAAGTAATTACATTCCTTGATGCTCATTGCGAATGTACCGAAGGATGGCTTGAACCTCTACTTGCACGGATTGTACAAAACCGTCGCACTGTTGTATGCCCAATAATTGATGTGATTTCTGATGAGACCTTTGAATATATAACTGCGTCAGATTCTACGTGGGGCGGTTTTAATTGGAAACTTAATTTTAGATGGCAAGTATTAATAAAAATGAATTGTTTTTTTCGGTTTAAATGCCATAGATAAAAGTATAAGGTGAGCATATGTCCCATTTTAAAACGGACTGTCACTTTTTAAAACTTACTGCTCCGAAACAAAAAACAGAATCTTCCCTTTTTCAGAAATAATATTTGAAATTTATAATTGATTAATCGAGTCGACTCGTTTCTGATTTTAATGGAAAATTTGGTCAATAACCCAAATAAAAAAAAAAAAACGAATGAAGGTTCTGAATTATAATTGTCACATTATATGCACGTATATATTAAAACGAAAGTTGACATTGTTGACATTCATGTATATGTAATACTTTAAACGAGTAAAATATGCTGCATACAAAATTATAATAAAAACTTGGTTGCGGAAGTATCAAGATATAATCCTGGAATCAGCCACTTATCAGTACTGGTGTCGAAGTTCAACCCTCGACTAACTGCCATTTCATTTAGCACAAATTATTTATGTGTATAGTTTTTGGTTTTTTTTATGGTTTATTAAACTTAACTATGTTCTAGGTACCGTGTTCCTCAGCGCGAAATGGAGCGCCGTAACAATGACCGTACAGCGCCTTTACGTACACCCACCATGGCTGGCGGTTTATTTTCCATTGATAAAGATTATTTCTATGAAATTGGTTCATATGATGAGGGTATGGACATATGGGGTGGTGAAAACTTAGAAATGTCATTTAGGGTAAGCATACATTTTGCCAAAATATTTAGACTACTTAATAAATATATTTTTTAATAATTGAACATTTAAGGCAGAAGTGATAACTTTTATGTATTATTGATCTTATAATGTTACTGAGATAAGTTTACTATAACTAATATAGCAACTTCTTATACCAGCATCGCCGCGGTCCTTATAATAAGTGTCTTATTTTGTATATACCATATTTTGTAATAATTTTTGAGAAAATCTAGTGTACATTTAATCGAAACACAAAATTAATTTTAATTAATATTTAGTTTTATTTGATAATTATTTGTATTTTTAAAATCCGAAATTCAAAAAACTATTTAAACAAAATATTACATACACAAAATTTATAGATTTGGCAATGTGGAGGAATATTAGAAATAATACCCTGTTCCCATGTGGGTCACGTTTTCCGTGATAAGTCACCCTACACATTCCCCGGCGGTGTTGCCAATATTGTGCTACACAATGCGGCGCGTGTTGCCGAGGTGTGGTTGGATGAGTGGCGCGATTTTTATTATGCAATGAGCTCAGGTTCGCAAAATCAAAAAAAAAATTATTAAAAAAATTAAATTGTAATATTAAAATTTTAACTTTTTACTTATCACCACTGACAATAATGCTAACCCTTCACTAACAAGCTAGAGAAAAGTATTACAAAGTACTATAACAAATACAAAAACAAAAACATTACAACAAACACTATTACTCTTTTTAAAATTAATATTCATATAAACAAATTAGTTTTGTTTTGAAAATCATTTTTTATCTGATTTTTTATTTACTGCAAATAATAATCCGTAAATAATAAAAGTAAGCGAAGATCAAGAAATAGTTTAAAAATAAAAATTCAATATTATTTTAGATTCATTTCCTCCTCGAGTCTAATTGAAATCTATTTTTAAGCTATTTTACCAATTTTTTCGTCTAATTTGAAATTGAAATTTTTAAAAATTCATATATAATGCAAAACGCACTTTTAAAAATTTTTTACCAACAGATATAATTTTTTGTTTAGCTGCCGTTGAATTTTGTGCTCATTTTTCTATCTCAACACTTTTGATGTAAATTTATTGGATTCATTTTTGTATTTTTTTAATAAAATTAAGAATTTCTTTGTTGAAAGTTGGAATTAAACTAACACATACACATACAAACACGCTCAATATCACATATGGCTAAATAAAATTATGAATTTCTTACAACGCAGGACTTTACGCCAATTTGTTAAGCTAACATTGTTTTTATTGAGTAAAGTTTGAGTAAAATTTAATCATATTTTATCTTATAATATTGATTTGTATGGATTGGTTAATATATTTTGTACTTAAGCTAAAAATTACTCTTTTGCTAATTTGGAACCTAACAAATTATTTAAATTTTATTGTAATTAAATTAAAGTGACTAATTTTTAAATAACTGCCATCACAGCTCTCGTATAATTAGAATTTGTTTTTGTAAGGCTCGCGCTAATTCTGTGTAAGGATATTTGGTTTATTAGGTTAGCATGCAAGGGTCTCTCTTTATGGGTCTTTAAAATAACACGGACTATAAAAAATGCCAATAATTAAAGTAACTGAAGTACTAAATAACATTTTAAAGTTCACAACATCATATAAGCAAATTTGTTGTTACCAATTTTTACATATCAGAATTGGTTTTTATATTTTTTGAATATAAATGTAAATATAAATATAATTATAACTATAAATATAAATATAAATATAAATATAAATATAAATATAAATATAAATATAAATATAAATATAAATATAAA